GTTTATTAGAAAGGCAGAAGGCTTGAGGTGAGGATATGACCTATTTGATGTATAATAAGAGGAGAAGAGAGGATAGGACAATACAGAACAGGACAGGACAGGAGAAGACAGGAGATGAGGAGAGGACAGGGGAGGGAACACAGGGGATAGGGATAGGAGGAGAATAAAGGGAATAGAGAAGAGAAAGGAGGGGGGAAGTAGATCAAAAAGAGGAGAGTAGAGAGAAGAAAGGGGAGGGGAAGAGACAGGAGGGAAAAGTGGGAAGAAAGTGGGAAAAAGATGAGGAAGGAGAGATGGGAGGGAAGGGAAAAGGAGAAAAATAAACTTCTAACAAATTAATTTTAAATCCTACCTGGAACGATGTTTCTCTCCAGCACCCACAACCCAGCCACCCCATGCAAATTAGTCTTGAAGAATGTCTTTTCACGACAAAGGAAAATATTCACAGGTCTAGCTTTAGGAAAAAGGAAAGGCTTTTGAATGTCAGGTTTGTCCAAATGGTTTTTCATACACATTCTATGGAATGTACAAAGCTGCCAACCTCCTGCACATTAGCTGACTAACGGGGTTTTCTCACACTTGAAAAGTAAAGTGGTTTGGAAAAGTTTAGAGAGCATAATCCAAATAATTGTCAGATTTGTTTTTGCACAGCAGTTACAAAATACTACAGAATCTTAACAAAAATTACTCCCAAAGTCTTTTTTTTATTTTACCAACTGTACATTCTTGATGTCTATAAACTATAACTTGCTGCACTGCTTCCCACATCAAAAACAAAAGGAAAAATGGATCTGGGAAGATAATATGCAATCCTTTATTTTGATTTTATGTACTATACCTATGCTTATTTCCACATCCTTTGATCTCTCCATCCACTCTAATTCAAATAAAGCCAATAGAAAATAATGTCTATGTCTAGGGAGGAGCTAGAATTTAATGTTTTCTGCAAAAAATAATAATATCCATAATTGATACCAGAGAATAAAAATCCATTCTCAATATTTTGAAAGATCTCATTAATGTTCCACCACAATGCCATATTGGGGCATGGAGGTGAAGTTAGATTCTTTAAGACTATGGCTCCAAAGTTGATACATATTTCTCTACTCTCAGAAAAGGGATGGTAGACTAGAGCTGTGGAATGCTAAATGCACTGTGAGGTACAAGCACTGTGACATTTTACATTGCTTACATTACATTGAGGAATAGTGGTGACATAAAATTTAAAAAAAACTAACAGTTATCTTTTAAAACCTTTTTTTTTTCTAATGGAGAGCAAGGTTTGCCAGCAAGTTTTCATACTGTTATGCCATCAGGTGATGAATTATTATGTCTGTTGTTCAATGCTATCCCAGCTAAAGTCAAAAAAGCTCATCCCCAAAAGACTTGCTGACAAATAAGTGTTCAGGAATAGAAAAGTTGTAGTGTGCATCAGTATGGGGAACAATAACACTTATGAAATCACAAACTCTTAAAGTATTGGAATACATATGTATTTGACACCATAACATAAAATTGGAACTAAAGACCCAAACAAAAAGACCATGAACTGTATTTGGGATTAAGATTTTTTTGTCATGCTGTGTTGTGGGCAGCAGGAACACAGGATGGCTCAGATAATGAGATATGATTGTGTAAAGCAAGCAGTCCTCCTGACTTAGTACAGGTACAGCAGAGATCAAAGGCCCTATAAGCTGCCAGAGACTGAGATATAGCTGAAGCTTAAAAATCAGAAATTCAGAGAGGAGTCAGCTCAGACTCTGAAAACCAAGGAATTCTGACAGAATTCAGAGAGTTTTCAGTCTTTATTGGAAAAAGTAAGTCAAAAATTTAGAAGAATCATTTGAGGCAAGATAGAGAAAACAATATTTGGATACTAAGGTAACTAAAAATAAATAATATAATGGAACAGGAAATTTGATACACAATCAAATAGTAATTCTGAAGCAAACCTAAATTTATACTTTCTGTCATAAGTATAAGAACCCACATTTACATAGTGGATTATTATTTCCTAAACAATTTCTTCACAAGCCTATGAGATTAGTTTGAGGACGTATATTATTTCATTTTGTATTTCTCAAATTGTCTAGTATGAATAAGCTTACATATAGCAGTCTCCTAATAACTACTTGTTGAATTGAATTAAATTAAATATCACAACCTCAGAATCTAAAAGTTAAAGAGACCTAAGAGGTCATCTAGCCCAATACGTAGCTGATCAAGAATCCCCTCTATGATATTTCTAACAGGTATTCATTCAACTTGTGAACCTTTATAATGGGGAAATCTATTACTTCCCAAGTCAATCCATTTCAATTTTGAATTGCTCTGATTATTAAGAATTTTTTTCTTATATCAACTTAAAATCTTTCTCTGTCTCTCTGTATGTGTCAAATTAGCTCCATTTTACATTTTACATATTAAAATGGTTGCTCAGAGCCACAAATAGAGAAGATGTCAGAGAAGGGGCTCAAACCCAGATCTTCTGATTCCCTAATAAGCTTCTCCTACCCCATTTCCACTTCACCATAGGGAGGCGACACTAGATACCTTGAGATAGGACTTTTTTTGTTTCCCATCCTGTGTATCTTTTGCCTCATCTCTTATCAGATCATCATCCTTTCATGGATCTCCATTACCACCTATCTGGATGAAAAGTTCCCATCCAGTCTTCCTGCTTCTATAGATCTTCCATATTTCTCTCTTCTCTTCCAAAAAAATCATGCATTTTATCCCACTGCTAGAATAATCATTGCTATTATAAACCTAGTCATGTCACAATCTTCATAGATTCCTTATTATAAATTAAACTACAAGATCCATAACCTGATATTTATTGAGAAACATTCATAGTCTAGCAACTTCCTACCTCTCCAACCTTATTTCATATTTCTCTTTTCAGTGAACTCCATGCTCCAGCCAAATCAGCATGTACCCTGTCCCTCAAACACATGTACCCTCCTTCCTCTATAACTTAATTTTTAGGGTTCTCTATGCCTTGAAATCTTCCTTCTTGATCTTTACCTATCCATGCTCAAATACCACCTTTTCTCTAATGTCTCCCTTGACATATTCATTCAACAAAGACTTTTCCACTAAGATCTCACAGAGTAATTTGTTTTGTAACTCTTTAACTCATTCATCAAGTTTATATTCATTGTTTATATTATAAAAAACAACAATTGTTTATTATCATTATCTGTGTGTATTATTCTCCTACTAAATAAGTACCATGAGGGCAGGGACTATATTTAAGCAGAACTTTTTTATCTCCACTAACCCCAAGCACAGTGCTCTGGATGTAGTAGATATTTAATAAATATTTGTACAATGAATGGAGATTGCTATTTAATTAGGTTTTTCAACAGCCACTTTGTATTCATAAATCATACTTATTTTGATATCAACTAATACTCCCAGGTTTGTTTGTTTGTTTTTTTCACATGAACAGTTGTCAAGTCAGGTTCCCAATATTGCAGTAAACCCAGAATCATACATTTATCTCTGTTCAGTTTCACTTCTTAGGAGGCAGAATAATGTAATGGGTAGAGAACAAGTCATCTCAGCCTCAGAAAGACCTGGGTTCAAGGCCTCTGTCTGACATATACTAGGTGAATGACCATGGTAAGAAGCCCAAGTTATTAGTGTTCCAGGCAATTCTGTAAGTCTAAGTTGCAAACTAGTAATCTGTTGGCATTGGTATTAGCAATAGAGGGAGTCCCTTTACCAGAATTTCCCTACATGAATAAAATATTAAGGCTGAACAAAAAAGAATTATCTTTTTGGTTTTGGCACATCTTTCACACAAATAAAATTCAAAACCTGTCATTCATCAATAACTTTTATGTAGGGAGAACCACAGTTATTGGTGTGTGAAATAGAAATAGGTCCTGGTCTTTGAAGGGCTTTACCTTAAAAAAGAAATAATATCCAGTTTGATAATTCTTAGAAGTCTAACACCCCTTTTCATCCTGAGCCATAGTCAATGTAGGAATAACTGAATAGCTGAAGGCATGAAGAACCATTTGTTCCTGTAATTATGCCAAAATTAATCTAACTTTAATGATTTCATTTTCAATTAATGTAAGAGAGAAATAGTGTTGAAATTCATTGGATCATAGATTTAGAACTGGAAAGAGTCAGTCTAACTCCATCATTTTACAGATGAAGACTGAGGCCCAGAGAGGTTAAATGACGCCCAAGGCTAAACAGAGAATATAGTAGGAATTTGAACTCTAGACATCTGACTTCAAAGCTAGCACTTCTTTCATTTTTCCAAGATCATTAGGAAGTTAAAGTACATACAATTCTGAATTAAAAGGTTGTTCATTCCCCTCAAGGCCATACTTCTTACTTTCTAGACTTTGCCCTCCTTATGCAGCTACTTTTTCACCTAGAAACTTCCCTCAGCCCCTAAGGTCTTTTTTCTCAATATGGAGGATGTCTCTACCATGCTTTACTCATTGGTGGGTTCCTTCTGGAGCCTGCATTTAGGTGACTGGCCCAGACTGGCCATGATGTATTCCTCTCCCAGCCATACTTCTCATTCTCCAAACTTCACAACCAGCACTTAACATGATACCTGGTACATCGTAGGTGCTTAATAATTGTTTAGTCACTACTATGCCTGACTACTATGTCACTCCACAGGCAGTTTTTTACCCTTCCCTTTTTAGTTTCCTTTTGTTGTCCTCCTCCATTAAAATGTAAGCTCTTTGAGGACAGGCACTGTCTTTGATGTTTGTTTTTATTTTTATCCCCATCCTCTTAGCACTATTCCTATGACATAATAAGCACTTAATAAATATATGTTGCATGCCTGTTTAGGATGGTGATAAAAGTCATCATTTGTTGTTGTTCAATCATTTTAGTAATGTTCAACTCTTTGTGACTGCATGCAGATTTTCTTGGCAAAGATACCAGAGAGATTTGCCATTTCCTTCTCCAGCTCATTTTGCATATGAGTAAAGTGAGGCAAACAGGGTTAAGTGACTTACCCAAGATCACACAACTAGTCAGTGTCTGAGATCTGAGTGGATTTTAATGCAGGTCCTCCTGACTCCAGGCCAAGCACTCAATTCATTCTTCTACCTAGCTAATTTTAGTAAAAGAAATAAAAATAAGAAAACTACTTTAGACTTTGTTTCAATGATTTTTTTTTGCAAAAATTCTGTACTATATTACAATATCCAGGAGATAGAATAAATTTAGCTTTGTAATTCCTTTGCTTCTGGCACAGTTGCATATAGTGGGCAATTAATATTACTTATTAACAAATATTTGATTAATGAATGAATAATTGAAGGCCCTATCGAAACTATTCAAAGCATAGTTAAAGGAAATGAATGAATGAATAGCAAGGAAAAGAAGGAAAGAACAGGAAACTATTGATAATGTCAATCATTTTTGTGTCAAATATTAATGATGTCTGGTATTTCTACATAATCTATAAGTCTTCTGCTTCCTTCATTCCTTCTTAATGATCCATGCTTTCTGATTATCATTATCTTCACCAACCAAGTATCAAATTATATTTAAATTTTATTGGTGGGGTCTTTTGGAGTTTTCCATAGAATTTCTCTTTCCCTTAATTCTCTGCTAGATAAGGTGGTGCCAAGGTGCAATGGTTCTCTTGGTAATTTTTTCAAATACTTATGCTGTCTGCAACATGGGATGACAAAATATTCTATGAAATAACATCTTCTTAAAAGAAACATTGTGTGCCTTTAGGCACATAATAAAATAAACTCTACCAACTCCTTTCTTTCACTCTCCAAGGAATACCTATGCACCATCCATCCATGGAGCTGCAACTTCCTTATTTCTTCTGTTTTTCTTTATAGCAAAAATGTAAAGATTGATGAGTCAGCTTCTCTAGTGGTATTTCTACATGCTAATGATTGAACAAGGATCTTGTATTTAGAATACTGGGAAAAAGACTAAAATTTAAAGACCGTTACAATAAAATCAAAATGGATATGTGACTTGAATATAAAAGATCATACCAAAAAAGATTAGAAGAGAAGCACATCATTTACATTTCACAGAAATGGCATAGGAGATAAATTCTTAACCAAATGAGAAAGGAGCAACTACAAAATAGAAAGTGCATCATAAGATTGATTATTTTTATAAAACAACTCGAAAAACTTTTGGACAAGCAGAATTAAAGTATTTAGGATAAGAAGAAAAGCAGTCAGTTAGAGGAAGCTGTATATCAAATTTCTCTGATAAACATTTGGTATCTATGCTATATATATGCACACATATAATACCACATACATATACATATGTGCACATAAATAAACAAGCAATATAAATATATAAGAACAAAATCCATTTCCCAAAATTTGAAATAGTCAAAAGTCAAGAACAAATAGTTGCCAAAAGACTTGCAAACTATTATTGATCATATAATAGAACATTCCAAATCATTAATAATAAGTGAAATATACATCAACATAAATCATAAATTTCACCTCAAGTCCAAGATACTGGCAAAGATGAAGAGTCAATGTTGGAGTGTGGAAAGACAGGTGCACAATGTATTTTGGGCGGATCTTTGAATTAGTATGATAGTTCTGGAAATCAATTTGGAATTATGCAGATAAAGTGGCAAAAATGTCTATTCTCTCTGACCCAGCCATTCCATTGCTAGACATATGCCCCAAGGAGACAGATCATAAACAAAAAGGAGAGGTAGAAAGTTACTAGAGTATGAATGTTTTGAATAAATACCAGGTTATGGATCTTGAAGTTTATCTATAAACAGATCTATGAAATCTATAAACAGATTGTGGAATAGTATTGTAATAGAATATTATTATTCTTTAATTAACAATGAACAGGATTAATACAGAGAAAGGAAAGACTTCTATGAACTGAGGCAAAGTGAAGTAAAGAGATCCAGGAAAATAATATACATAATAGCTATATAAATATAAGTGAAAAAAATAACAAACATAAAACATGAATGTTGCAAAATTACAAAGAACAATCTTCCTTTCTAAGAAACACCAGATGTAAGAAAACTCCTCCCCATAGTCCTTTGCAGAGGTGCAGGGTCCACAGATGTAGAGCATATTGTCAGATTTTTAAATTTCATTTTCTCTTAGTTTTAAGTTTTAAAAACTCTTTTTAATTAAAGTGGATTTCTAGGAGAGACAGTAGGAAATATAGATGATTTTTAAAATAAATCAATAAAAACCTATTTTTAAAGTTTATAGATGGCCTGAAAACATTGTGATTATCAGTATACTCTGCCTCCTTTTCTGCTGTCATCACTACAAAAACATAAGGACTGAAGGCCTTTTAAAATTTCTTTATGTTTTATGGGTTACCTTGGCCATAGAATTAAACACCTACAGATCAGTCTACTGGTGATACATCCATGGTTTAGGTAATCCTCAGAAAACAGATTTGGTCTGTTGCTGGGGAGATACTTGAATTCTCTTTGGCCTTTTCTCCACAGTGCCTTAGTCCAGTGCCTCATAGTGCTTTGGAGGTGACCCTGAGTTCTTGATGGCAATGACAACAAAGCATAGGCTCTGGAAAGTTCAGACATGACTGATTTCAAGCCATTGCACATCTGTATTTATTAAAGTCAGTTTTAGATATATATGCCAAGATATGGTGAATCAAATTTTTATGCTTGATACTAAAATATTTTTAGTGTCAGGAATAATTCTAGTGTTAACTTCACTTATAGGCAAGTAAGATGGATCTTAATATTTCTTTCATCTGTTCTCAGTAGGTGATCTTGGTCACAATTTGAAATTTGATCATTTAAAAATGTCAAGTTATCAATGTTTTTATCTATTATCACTAATCTTTTGATTTTATAACCCACCATTTCATGTAAAATCTCATTTTATAATAAATATACCCAGGAAAATAAAATAATCAGAAAGGACCAAAAAAAAACCCTTTATAAAAGTACAAAATCTTTCTGCTGTGGAGTACATAATGTAGAAGCTAATATTTATTGGCATGTGACATACCTTTCCAGAGAAAATTTTGTGACCCAAATGCACAAATTACATTTAATTTGTGGTAAACTATAAAGACAAGAATACATTTTGAATACATAATGACATGAAAGAAGACCATCTCAATTATGTATTTACAGCTTTTGAACTATATTTCTTAGCTATTGTAAGATAAGCAAATCTCAAAATTCAACCAATTTGTGGAAAAAGCATGAATACAATAGGTTAGATGTCAGTTGAGATATTAAGCCACAGCTTCAGGCCTGAATTCAAATACCATCTGTTTTGAGGGGAACTAAAAATTTGACTGAAAAGGAAAGGATTTGATAACATAGCAATGGATACTACCATATTCCTACTTCTATACCCAGTGGACAACATTTTAGTCTGCCAGGAGTCACCAAATTCTTGATAACAAAATAATAGTAATGAATAAAAATTAAACTGTTCTTGGTAATTAATTTATTTTTATTAACAGTTATTTTACTGTATCCTATGATTGTTGGCACAGTGAGAAGAAATCATTTATCAGTCTGCCAACCTAGGATTTATGTTTCAGCTGTGAAGTACCCCAGAATAGCTACATAGCTTTCATTTGAAATAAAGGAAGCTATTTGAATTTTTCCTTGAGGATGTACTTCTGAAACTTTTTGGTCTCAGGACCCCTTTATGCTCTTAAAAAATTATTGATAACCTCAAAAAGCTTTTGTCTATATGGGTTATGTCCATTTTTATTGACCATGTTAAAAATTAAAACTGATAAAATTTTAATTTTTATTAATTTAAAAATAGAAACATTCATGACATGTTAAAACAAATAACATATTTTTATGAAAAAATACTAACTTCTAAAACAAAATAATTCATAAGGAGTGGCATTGTTTTACATATTTTGCAAATGTCTTTAAAATCTGGTTTAATTGAAGACAGCTGTATTCTCCTCAATTCAACTTGTGGTGAAGTTTGAGTTGAATGAATTAAGTATATGAAGAAAGCTTAGACTCACATATGTACAGTATATAGTTGGAAAAATAAGTTGTACTTGAATAGGCAAATAAAGTCAGCATCATTATGAAAACAGTGTTCATCTCCTGGACTACCTAAAATAGCATTGAGGATCCTGGGATCCATGTACCATACTTGGAAAACTGATGCCTTAAGGCATCATCTATAGACAGATGGAGATTTGACAATTAAATGGTAATTTCATCACTATCTCATGTAGAATATTTAACAAAGTCCACTTTCTAAAAACTTCACTATTTACTTCTTGCATTATGTCTTATACTATACTAAGCTCTGTCAAGGGCAAAAAAAAGTGGGTGGTAGAATTTCTTTGCCCTCAGCAAGTTTACAAGACACCTGTAGAGACAAGGTATTGTACATGCATCTAGTTATTGATCACAAATGCTGCAAGAGTTCAGCAAAGAGAATGTGGGCTGATTAATGAGAGAAATCTTAGGGGAAATGGTTAAACTTGTCAAGTATGCAAGTATTCACTGCAATTTTTTTCTTTTAATCTGAGTTGCCGCTTTTGTGTTATTCACTCCATTTTCCACTATTTCCCTCAATATTCTTGCCGTTCTCCAGCCAAGCTCCACCCTGGCCAGACAACTTTCCAACATGTTTCTCTGAGCCATTCTTTCATAGCTTTTATGTGTTTATGTAGCAGTCAGGATACAGAATCAGTCCCATCCCTTAAGATGCCTCTAATGAATATTCTAATAACATTGATTACATTTATTTGAAATCCTATTATCTGCATTAGTCATTTTTGCATTGGACAAAATATTGACTTATACAAACTTCTCTAATATTATTTTCCTGGTTCCTAACTTCCTTCAAACATTTTTTTTTCTAAGATTACATCTTATCAGTTATATTGAATCAATCTTATCAATCATCTTCATGATTTCTTCCCTATTAGAAGATGAGCTCCTTACAGGCAAGAACAATGTTTTGGTCATTTTCTGTATCCCCAGAGCTTAATAGATGGTTGTTGACTCATTTGCTCACCTCTACATTGGCCACCAATGAAAAGTCAATCAAATAATAAATATTTATTAAGCACCTACTATATTCCAGGTACTGTGCTGAGAACTGGGGA